ACCTGAACTGCTAGTCTCGCCTGTTTTGAGCGGTTCGTCATAACCGGGAACCTGGCTCAAGAAGTGGAGTTTGCCTAAACTGTTAGGCTTGCCTGATTTGAGCGGTTCGCCCGTACTAGGAACCTGGCTCAAAGAGATGGGCTCGCCTAAATTGCTAAGCTCGCCTGATTTGAGCGGTTCGCCATAACCGAGAACCTGGCTCAAGAAGTGGAGCTCGCCTATGCTAAGCTCGCCTGATTTGAGCGGTTCGCCATAACCGAGAACCTGGCTCAAGAAGTGGAGCTCGCCTAACTGTTAGGCTCGCCTGATTTGAACGGTTCACCCGTACTAGGAACCTGGCTCAAAGAGATGGGCTCGCCTAAACTGCTAAGCTCGCCTGATTTGAGCGGTTCGCCATAACCGAGAACCTGGCTCAAGAAGTGGAGCTCGCCTAACTGTTAGGCTCGCCTGATTTGAGCGGTTCGCCCGTACTGGGAACCTGGCTCAAGAAGTGGAGCTCGCCTAAACTGTTAATCTCACCTGATTTGAACGGTTTGCCCGTACTGGGAACCTGGCTCAAGAAGTTGAAGTGTAGGGAGTAGTTTAACCTCTTATACCAGTTGGAGGATCAGAAGAAGCAGTTTATACTCGTGTACTTGTCGGAGTGTAAGGAGACTATCAGAGGTAATAGTTAACTTGATAGTTTTAAAAGATCCATCGTCAAGTTAAATGAGACTGATGGAGAAATGACTATCAGAGGTAACAGTTAACTTGATAGTTTTATGGGCCCGCCGTCCTATTGAAGAGGATCAACGGGGAAATCGTAAGATATGAGGAAATGGTCTCCACTACCAAAGCATCTTGGTCATCATCTCCTCGAAACTCATGCGGGTCTTCGTCACCCATATGCTTGAGCATGCTCTCGACTTGTTCTCCTTGGCGGAGTAAGTCTTTCCATGAGCGAGCTTCAACAGCGCCCATATTGGACAGAACGCTGATGGAGAGATTGTTCCGGCACATCTCGATGAGCGTGGCCTCGGAAACTCGATCGCGGGAATGCAACGATCGGTTTCTGAATCTCTTGACAAAGCTGCTTACAGACTCTGTCTTCCTCTGCTTCACGGTTAGCAGGGTGGCCATAGATACTTCTGTGTCATCGTCGAAGAATCTGGCCACGAAGAGCCTTTCCATCACTACAAGAAATCTGATATTTAACGACCAAAATTAGTGAAGGGATCAGTTGACCGTCATTAATGGGTATATAATAACGACGGGTTTTAAACCCTTCGTGGAGTGATTTCAAATAATAGAGAAATAATGTGATATGGGATAACAGATTTCTAATCCCTTCATTGATTTGATCCTACTACCGTCGTTATTGGGTCTCCTTAAAAATGAAGGGGTCCATTACCTTCGTTGATGGGACTCCTAATCATAATTGGACTGAAATTAACCTATTGCTATTAACAAATCCCATAACCAAACCCAAAGCCCCAACTAAAACCCAAAACCCGAATTAATAAACTACAAAATGATCTGGAATTAACCTATTCCTATTAACAAACCGAATTATTGAGATTCAATAACTCCTAATCATTATTTAATCAACCACAGCTATATATAATAAATAAACCCTAGTTACAAAAACTACCGCCTCCTGTATATCTCGTCGTGGTCCTCCCGCACGTCGTCCGCTCCCCCACGTCGTCGTCGTCTCCATCTCCGGTCTTCGTCCGCTCCTCGTCGTCGTCCGCGCGATCCTCGTCGTCGTCCGCTCCTTCACTATTCACCGTCGTCATCATCGTTGTACGTCTTCAGTTCGTCTGCAGATCTTGTCGTCGAGATCTCGTCGTCGTCGAGCAACGCCACAGCACCGCCCCAGCGCCGTCGCCGCCCCTGAGCCGTCGTCGTTGAGAACTCTTCGCCGTCATCGTCGAGAACTCTTCGCCGTCGTCGAGAACTCTTCCTCCATCGCGCGGCTCGACGGTAACTTTTGAAGTTACTGTTTGATTTTAGTACAGACCCTATAGTTTAAACTACTTTGCACTTAAGTACCCCCTTGTAACAATTAAAGCCAAAAACATTTATGAATTTGCAAATAAGTGTTGATTCTATTCTTTCCATCAAAAAATATTTATATGATTGTTTAAAAACTTATACCAATCCCACCGATAAGTAATTGCTTAAGGAAATTATTGGAACAAATTGACAAGCATTGATCATCATGATCATTATCTAGATTTGGAGAATTCCAATGGCAGACAAGATAGTATTCAAAAGTTATTTATTCTTAAAACTATGATATTTCTATTATTCACGTACTCCATCTACATCTCCACTTTCACGTGTTGTCCACATCCTTACTCAATCCCCGCTCTTTTGATTGCTCACTCAAATGTTCATCGCTACAAGAAATCTGGTATTTAACGACCAAAATTAGTGAAAGGACCAGTTGACCGTCATTATATACATGTTGCAATTATATATCCTACTTTACAATTAATATCCTTGTTTTGTTTAATTGCACTCAATTACCTACAGTTTCCCTTACTTTGCACTTTGCCTTAAAGTACCCTATACATGTTGCAATTATATACCCTATACATGTTGCAATTATATACCCTACACATGTGTGGTATTTACTTAAGTTAAATGAATTTCAAATGATTATTTCTTTAGCTATTGAGACGTACTTGTCAAGCTTGGACATACCACTTTCCATTAACAAGTCATTTTGTTAGTTATAATCATAGTTCCTATGTCACATGTGCTATGAAAGGAAAATGAATTTTTTTTACTAATTTGTTCTATTTACTAATTTGTTATATGGTAGTATTTTTGCCTTTAAATTGACCCTATAATTGCATAAATAAATACTTTCTGAATGACACCATATATAGGTTAACTTCTTTGCATTAGAATGACCATATATCTGAACATATGAGTCTCTACATAAAATTAAGCATTTATTTGTGTTTAGTTTTTGAAGAGGTTGAAATATTTTTCAGGAAATTTTAGTACATTGCTTGAAATGGCGCTGAATAAAGATTGGATGGACCTAGTAGATGATGATAGACTTGATCTAAAATATAAAGAAGGGGTTGATCAGTTTTTAGACTATGCATATGAGAAGCTGTTGGATAGTTTTAATGAAAAGGATGAAGACTTTGAAATTCGATGTCCATGTGTTAAATGCAGCAATGTGAAGTCTGGTAATCGTGAGTCGGTAAAGACCCACTTGATTGTTCATGGAATTATTAAAAACTACAGATTTTGGTGTCATCACGGCGAAAGACAGGGTGAGTCCATTTCGGAGTTTGATGAAGAACAAGAAGAAATGACAGAAGAAAGCCAGAGTGACGATGAAATGCAAGAAATGATTGGAGATTTATTTCATAATTCAACTGGTGTTGTTGCACCTGATGCCACGTCGAGTCAGGATATTCTTGAGTAGGAACCAGATGGACATGCAAAACAATTCTACAGTCTTTTAGGTGACTCCGAGAAACCTTTGTATGAATGCTCTAAATGTTCAAAATTATCTGCTTTAGTGAAACTACTTCACATAAAGAGCCTAAATAGGTGGAGTAATAAATCATTCTCAATGTAGCCTAAATAGGTGGAGTAATAAATCATTCTCAATGTTGCTCCAGTTTTTGAATGAGGAGCTATTGCCAGGGGAATCAACACTGCCTAATTCGTATGACGAGGCCAAAAAATTAATCCGAGACCTTGGCCTATCATATGAAAAAATTGATTTTAATCCGAGACCTTGGCCTATCATATGAAAAAATTGATTCGTGTCCATTCTCTTGCATGCTGTTTTGGGAAAATGAAGAAGGTCTTGATACGTGTCAGAGATGTGGTGCTTCTAGATAGAAACTTGATAAACATGGAAAAGAGATCAAGAGAAAGGCAAATGGTAAAAAAAATACCACAAAAGACATTGTGATATTTTCCTCTTAAGCCACGATTGCAAAGGCTTTACATGTCTTTGAAGACATCTTCTGATATGAGATGGCACCATGAAAGACAAGTTGAGGACGGAGTGATGAGGCATCCAGCTGACTCTAAGGCTTGGAAAAACTTTAATGAGCTACACGACAGCTTTGCCGAAGAGCCCCGAAATGTTAGGCTCGGTCTTGCAAGTGATGGTTTCCAGCCTTTCACAAATTCAAAAGTTTCTTATAGCATATGGCCCGTTTTACTTGTACCATATAATTTACCACCATGGATGTGCATGAAGCAATCCAATTTTATTTTATCTATGCTCATTCCTGGTCCAACTGGTCCTGGAGATGCTATTGACACCTACTTACAACCATTGATAGAAGAACTAAAGGAGTTGTGGGCCTCAGGCGTTCGAACATATGATGTATCTCTGAGACAGAATTTCATTTTACGTGCAGCACTAATTTGGACTATTAATGATTTTCCTGCTTATGCAAATTTATCTGGATGGAGCACTAAGGGGAAATTAGCATGTCCTTGTTGTAATAAGCACACTCACTCTATCAGGTTAAAATATGGAGGCAAGCAGAGCTATATGGGGCATCGTCGCTATCTTGATGAAAATCATAGATGGAGAAAGGATAAGAAATCATTTGATGGCACTAGGGAGAGAGGGTATGCAGCGCCGAAGCTGACAAGAGATGACATCCTTAAGCAGGTGGAAGATCTTATAGGGATCACCTTGACCAATCATCCAGAGAAGAAAATTAAAATATCACACGAAAGACGGGGAGATAATTGGAATAAAAAAAGTATTTTTTTTATTTGCCATATTGGAGAACTCTCTTATTGCGACATAATTTAGATGTCATGCATATTGAGAAGAATATTTGTGATAGTCTGCTGGGAACAATCATGAACATTAAAGGAAAGACAAAGGATAATATCAAAGCCCGACTCGGTTTACAAGCAATGAGTTTAAAACCGGAGTTACATCCAATTCAGAGAGGAGATAAACTTGTGATGCCAGCAGCTTGTTATACTTTATCCCAAGAAGAGCAAAGTAAATTTTGTCGATTTCTAAAGGAGTTAAAAGTTCCAGATGGATTTTCTTCCAATATTTCTCAATGTGTAAACCTTAAAGAGCGTAAGATTTTGGGGTTAAAGAGTCATGACTGTCACGTTCTTTTGCAGCGCTTGATTCCTGTATCGATTCGTGGCCTTCTTCCTGCAAAAGTGTGTGAACCAATTATTGAACTTTCCATATTCTTCACTATATTATGTGCCAAAACATTAAGGGTGGATGAACTAAAGCAAATTGACGAGCAGATTCCACTTACATTATGTAAGCTTGAGAAGATTTTTCCACCTTCAATTTTTGATGTTATGCTGCATTTAGTAGTTCATTTAGCATCTGAAGCCATACTTGGAGGGCCTGTTCGATTTCGATGGATGTACCCAGTGGAGCGTCAGCTTTATACTTATAAGTCATATATCAGAAATAGGGCACGTCCAGAAGGGGCAATTGCTGAAGGATATATAGCAGATGAATGCATGACACTTTGCTCAAGGTATCTAAAAGGCTTCGAGACAAAGTTTAATCGCCTTGAAAGAAATTATAAAGATGACAATAAAGAATGTCATGAAGCACAACTATCTATATTCAGACATAGTGGGCGGGCATTGGGTGCTGCCACCACCCGCTGCCTTGATGAACGTGAGTGGTTGCAAGCTCATATTTTTGTTCTAAAGAACTGTGATGAAGTGCAACCACACATTGAGTAAGTCACTAAAGTTTAAGATTCTACTAATAAATTTACTATAGTTAGTCAACGTTAATCATATTTATGATATTTTAATGTAGGGACTACAATGAATTCGTGAGAGAACCCACAAATCACTATGATGATAAAGATTGGGATAAGAACTTTATCGAGTGGTTCCAAGCTCTAGTACGTATATATCTTGCCTTATTTTTTAAATATCTTGATTGGTTCATTTTATTACATGTTCCATGACTTGATCATATTTTGGTTTTGTTTAGGTTTATCAGAGTTATCGAGAAGATGATGACTTACTTTCACTATCTCGTGGTCCAAGTAAGATTGTTAAATGTTTTACTGGATTTGTCATAAATGGACATCGATTTCATACAGAAAGTCGAGATAATTGTTTGTCAACTCAAAGTAGTGGGGTTGCAGTTGTTGGTGATGCTGGTGATGGTGGAGATATAGATTATTATGGTGCTTTGGTTGAAGTTGTCGAATTAGAGTATCTTGGTGGAAGAAAGGTTGTTCTATTTCGTTGTAAGTGGTGGGATGTGCATGGCAAAGGAAAAGAGACAACTTTGAAAGAAGACAAATATGGATTTATCAGTATTAACTGCCGACACTTACTAAAGACGAATGACCACTTTATACTTGCTGGCCAAGCATCACAAGTTTTTTATGTTGAGGATATTGCCAATGAAGGTTGGCATGTAGTTCTTAAAGCACAACCCCGTGATTCATATGATATGCCACCAGATACAGATGCATGTAGTTCTTAAAGCACAACCCCGTGATTCATATGATATGCCACCAGATACAGATGATTGTGAGATAGCAGACGATGAAGTTGAAGCTTATTTGCAAGATGAATCATTTGATGCTCAGGCTATTGCATCCACATCATTGGTAGATGAAGATATCAATTTGAGAAGGAGCGATATTGATCCAATTATTGTAAATTCGGTCTCAACTTCAAAAAGACTCAAGTAGAGGATTAAAACGCTTTCATTAAAGAATGACACTCAAATGATATTGTGTTATTGAGATAAATTTTAAGTTGTATCTTACTATAACTTTTCTTTTTTTTTAGACATAGGATGTTTCTTTTCTTCCTATTTTGAATTTGGCTTTTACATTGCAGCAAGTGCTTCTACATTAGTGCACTATGTATTTATTATTATGCTTGTCCTTCGTGATATCTTCTTCTTTTATTCATTTTTCTTTTGATATTTGTTTCATACATAGTGTGTAATACTTAAATTCCTTTTCATAGAAGGAAAATGAAAACTCAAGAAGTCACTTCCAAAAGCAAAAGGGCATAATTTCTAGCACCCAGGTCATTAATTACGAAGCGACTTCAAGCAATTGCAGAAAATTCATTAAGAAGGGAACAACTCCGTACTTGTCATGACAAGAACTTGAATATTCAAAATCCAATACAAGATCAAAATATGGATGCAAATTTTAGCGCTGATTCAGAAAACTTTGAAGAGGAGAATTTTGCACAAAATCGCAGGAGAAGTGCAAATACTAACAATGAAGAGAATGATGATTCTGCAGGTTGATGAGACTTAAAATTTATTATTATTTGTTTTTATCTTTCAATTTATTTTTTATGATTGGATTAATAATTGCTCAATTTTTGCAGAATCAGATAATCATCGAGTGCAAAGTGATGATGCAATACTAAATGAATCTCGACAAGAAGGTATATTCTTTATTAATTACAAGAAGGAATATTTTTATCAATTTCTTTAACTATATCTCGTTTCTAACATATGATATGATGTATGCAGCTGATAATTCTCAAAGGAAGAAAAATCCACCTCGTGGTATTAATAAGTGTCTAAAGTTGAATAATTTGTCACATGGGGAGAAAAAAATCATTACTTTTTATCAGAATAGAGCTATTGAACCAGAATTTTCACGATATCTTGGAATTATTATTTGAGATAGAAATATTTGCCCGGTAGCTGTTGAGAATTAGGCCAAAATACCACAACAAAATAAAGATCATATGTGGGCATCCATTAAGGTACATTGAAAATTAATTTTTTGCAATTGGTTTTTAATTCTTATAAATTAAATTTTGATTCAAATTTGATTTAGGATAAATTTGATGCTGAGGACATGGAGCAAAAGAGAGAGTCAGTAATGAGACACTTGCGCGATTTGTGGAATAAGTGGCGTGGTGACATGCACAGGAAATATGTGAAAGAAAATTCATTGCAAGTTACACTTAGAAATAAACCTACAGAAGTGAGTGTTGATGACTGGGATTGGCTAGTTAAGGAACATTATTTTTCTTCAAAATTTTAGGTATTAATCTCCTAATTTTATTAATTAATTTCTTTCATGTATATTGTTGGATTGTTAAAATTATCTTTTAATCTTGATGTATAGAAAGCAAGCCAACAAAATACACTTAACAGAGGCAAAAGAAAGATGCTCCACCACACGGGCAGCAAACCCTTTAGACAAATTGCGTGGGAATTGGTATACATTCAAAACTAATTTCCTATTTATTTATAACTACTTTGTTTTTGAGTTTGATGTTGTACTCATTTGTATTAATATTTGAATAAGGGTGGCAAGTCAGGAAATCCACCTGATGTGGCAAAAATGTTTCATGAAACTCGAAAGAAAGCTAATGAAACACTAGAAAATGGGGATCAAGATAAATATGTAAGTAGAATATGTGTTTAAGTTTGATAATGATGCATTATATAGTACTAACATATGAATTTAATTTTTATAGGATGAAATTGTTCAAGTCAAACAAGCAAACCCTTCACTTTCTGACATTGAGATAGTTGAGAAAATCTGGGGGAAGCAATCTCATGGTCACATCACTGTATTTGGTGGCGGGACTACTTTAAAAGATTTGAGGGGACCGTTCCCTAGTTGATCTGATCTGGAAGCACGGGTTATAGAAGAAAAGAGAAAAAACCAGATGCTTCACCAACGCTTAGATGAGCAGGAGCAACAACAACAAAGGATGTCTGAGTTGGAGTCACAAGTGAAAGCTATGCAAGAACTTTTTTTTAGACAATCACCTTCATTGACTCCTCAAACTCGAGAACGTGTGCAGGACTATGTAATTATTTTTTGTAAAATCTCTTATATACTTTTATGATTGAATACTTGCACTAAAAATATGATTTTTACTTAATAAGATAATATTAGCTTAATTGATATTTCTTAATTATGTAATTTTTTTTAAATTTTTCAGGCTATCCATGCAAGATTAGGAGGGAGTAGCTCGAGTCTTCTTTTGACGATGATTAGAGATGAAAGAATGTGTCTTCCCCAAACTTTTATTTTAATTTATTTTAGATAGTTTCATGTATTTTTCTTTGGAACAATTAGGATATTAACTCTTATTATTAGTATTAAAGATTTGAGGATGTTGGAATTTTATTTATTGATGTTATTAATGAATGGAATTTTTATTTTACCTCTTATTCATTATTGGGTATTTTTAATATATTTTTGTTGTGAATCTTAGTGTCTGGTTGAGAATAATATGATAGTTGCCTATGAATGGAAAATTTATTATTAATGTATATTAGAAATTTGTAGTCTACAATGATGGTTTTATAAACCGTATTTTGTTCATCAACGAAGGGAAAGCACCGTCGTTGATGGGTTACTAATTACCCATTATGAGGACTTTTACGACGGTATCCAACCGTCATTAATTAGTCTTCAACGATGGAAAAATATCCCCGTAACTAATGGTAACGACGGGAAAATATCCCGTCACTGATGGTAACGACGGGAAAATATCCCCGTTACTGATGGTAACGACAGTGATAATTACCGTCGTAAATATTAATGACGATAATATGTTCTGTCGTTATAGACTCTATAACGACGGGTAGTATATCCCTTCGTGACCCTTTAGCTAAGAGGGCTTCAACGACGGGTGACGAAGGGATTTTTTTCCCGTCGTTAGCATACAATAACGAAGGTTTTCAGCTCTTTAACGAAGGGAAATCCCTTCGTTAAATATGTAATTTCTTGTAGTGCATGTCCTTCCAGCAGGTGATGGACCCGGGCTCCAATCTGCGAAACCATTCAAAAGCGACCCCCTTGAGGGTACCAATGAACAGTCGAGTCATAATAGGATCGTTTCCCACTATGTGTCCAGTTTGCGCCTGGAAGTAGTAGATGTGCTGGGTAGGAGAACCCTTGCCATTGAACTACAGGAGGTCTAGCGGCTCGAACTTTGTCGGGTAGGAGACCGCATCCCATTCAATTGGATACGGTCTGACAACCCCCAGCTTGTTCGCATGCTTCTGGAGCTTCAAGGCGTCGAGTTGACTTTGGAGATCGTCAAACCTCTTGTCTCTTGGGTTATGGCCCGAAGATGATGCTCCTCTAGATGGCTCGGATGAGGAGTGAGAAGGAGTAGGCACCCGCTCTTTGTGCTTCAAGGATTTATGCGAAGCCCGCGAAGTCCTCTCTCTCTTCCTCTTCTTCTCGCTCAGGAGCTGCTCTAACATCTCCTTTAGGGAGTCGATGGTTGCTTGTTGCTCATCGAGTCTCCTGGATATCTCGTCAGAGATGTCGGTCATGTGCACATTTGCATGCTCGCCCTGAACTGAGCTTGAAGTCTGCGACATTGCCACTGCTGAGCAATCATCGTCATCGTTATCAGAGACGGACGTCAGACCCGTGTAGGCAAACGAGGTAGCCACCCCTATTTGGGCGTGAGTGTGCTGGCGAGGTTCAGGCTGGCGAGGTTCGCCCGTCAGGCGAGATTGGTACAGTGTACCTGCGCCTATCTGGCGAGCTGTTGCTTCGCTTATCTGGCGAACTTGGGCCGTCAGGCGAGCTTGGTAAAGTCCGCTTGTTTGACGAAGCCCTCTTGAACTGCAAAGTTCGCCAGGTGCCCTTGGTTCGCCGAAACTAGGAACCTGGCTCAAAAGGTTGATTCCTCTCAAGCCTGAATAATAATTCAGGCTGTCGTGGGGGATGAGGGATTGCGCCTCGAGACGAGCGAGAGCTTTTCAGAGATGGGTTCGCCTAAACTGCTAGGCTCGCCCGATTCGAGCGGTTCGCCAAAAATGGGAACCTGGCTCAAGAGGTTGATTCGCCTCAAGCCTGAATAATAATTCTGGCTGTCGTGGGGGATGAGGGATTGTGCCTCGAGATGAGCGAGAGCTTTTCGTCGCCGCTGTTTGGATCTTTTTGAACAAGGAGCGTTCATGTCGACGGCGGAGGCGTAGTCTGCGTCGACACGAATGGTTGATTCCTTTTGCACAGGGGTCTGCGAGGATCGTTCATCGACCCATTCAGCAGCCCACAAGGGACTCAACCGTAGTCCCTGCAGCAACTTCGTCAAACTGCGCCACCACCAATTCATCTGAATGAGCGGATTCTCCCACTGTGGTCGCCATCTTCTGCAGGTGTAAATTTTGATCTCCCGAAAACAGGGAACTTCGTTTGTATTGATAAGAAAGCTTATTACAAACTAATAATCAAATGTTTACAACAGAAGCGGAGGGAAAGCCCTCCTTGTTTAACGTGGGTTCCTCGGTGGCGATAGGAAGAGCCGTAATCCTGAGAGGTCAAACGAGTCTCCTTTAACAAGGGATCCTTTAGCAAATGAGCTAAGGTTCAATCTTTAGAAGTTGGATGATTAGCTCGCCAAAACTAAGTAGCCAATCAACCCCCTGAACATTGGTCCAATGTGGCTTTAAATATGCAAGGGAAGGCATGTGCATCCCTTGATTTGTAGGATTTGACCATTAGGAGGGTCCTGCTAGCCACCCTAGCTGTGGGATGTGACCACGTAGGGGGTCCTGTCAGCCGCCCTAGCTGTGGGATGTGACCACTTAGGGGGTCCTGTCAGCCGCCCTAGCTGTGGGATGTGACCACTTAGGGGGTCCTATCAGCCGCCCTATTCTTGCTAGGTGAGGAGCGCCATGCTTTCTCCCTTGATTTGTGGGATTTGACCACTGATGTAACTGTTCCCATACTCCAAGTGGGCAGTTGACAGTGAGCTGGCGAGTCTGTAGCTTAGGTCTTCAGGCGAGCTTAGGACTGCGGGTAGACTTGGGTCTGCAGGCGAGCTTGCAGGCGAGCTGAGTCTGCAAGTGAGCTTGGGACTGCAGACATACTTGGGTCTGCAGGCGAGCTTGCAGGCGAGCTGGGTCTGCAGGCGAGCTTGTGACTACAGGCAGACTTGGGTGTGCAGGCGAGCTTGCAGGCGAGCTGGGTCTGCAGGGATTTGGGACTGCAGGCGAATTTGAGTTGCAGGCGAGCTCCTGAGCATGGATCGAAGAATAGGCCGTAACTTTCAAACCGTAAGTCGGAATTGGACGAATTACATATGAAAATCGCCTATCTCGACGAGATGGAGCCATCCGAACCTAGCCGAAGGCTTTGGTTCGCTACCTCCGTTTCGCCAAATTCCTTACGGTTTGGGAGATATCTGCGTTTTCCCCTTTTTATCAGCGTTTTTCCCATTTTTGCTATTTCGGGTGAGGTTTTAGCAGTTTTGTTCTAAACTTCTCTGATAAGGATTTAAAGGCAATTTTTATTGCCTACAAAACCCCCTCCAAAGTTTTCAGACCTGAATCAGGCCGCATGTGGTCTGGAACACTTTGGATATGAAGACCTGTAAAGTGATCCCTGCTCAGATGGAGTGAGGAGCCCTTCAACGAGCTCGGTGAAGTTGATCTCTTCACTCGCAGCTGATGATCGCCTTATAGGATTTTGAGCAAACCCTCAGCTATCAATGGACTTGATTCGTCGTTACCAACCGCCGTTTGAGTTGGACTAGCCATGCTCTTGCCCTTGGCATGGTAAGTTGTCGAGGAGTTTCTCTTAGGCTCAATGCTAAAATTTCTCCTCTATCCTTAGCCTTTCGAGGCGTTTGGATTAAGAGAGTAGGGAGCAGTTTAACCTCGTATACCGGTCGGAGGGTAGGAGCAGTTTAGACTCATGTACCAGTTGGAGTATAAGGGGGCAGTTTAGACTCATGCACCAGTTGGAGTAAAGGGAACAGTTTATACTCGTATACCCGTTGGAGTCTAGGGGGAAGCTTATCTTATCTTAGTGCAAAGATGAAGACGAACCCTAATTTGTCTTCTCTTGGGGCAAAGACGAACCCTGAAATAGCAGCACATCGCATAGTAGGCTACTATCAAACAATAACGCCTTTTATGGGAAAGACGGTGCTGGGAGAATCAAATCGATCAGGGACGTATGAGTATGACGACTGATCGGACAACGTCATTTGCGGGAATGACGGTGTTGACTATCAGAGGTAATCATTAACATGATAGGAATTGCCACGATCGGAGCGACTTTGAGGACCTACCATCCTTTTGAAGAGGATTAGTAAGTTGATTTGTCAGAGGTGTGATGTTAACATGACAGTGGGAGTTTATTGCGATTTGAGCAACTCTGTGGATTTACCATCCTATTGAAGATGACTGATAAGTTGATTTGTTAGAGGTGACCGTTAACTTGACAGTGGGGGTCCCGCCATCCTATTGAAGAAGATTGGCGGGGGATTGTGGCTTTGGTCCTAACTATCTGAAGGTTTGACCAAGTGGGAGTTTGATGCAGCCCACCTGAACTGCTAGTCTCGCCTGTTTTGAGC